ACCTCATAACACTCAAGTTTCCACTTTACGTTGGATTTGGACCCAAAGCCATGTCACGATTTGAAAAAGAACAGGGGATTGACCAATATTCTTGTCAATATTTTTCTCTGAATGAACATTGCTAAATCAATATCTTATTGACCTTGATGTATGCAGGTTTTTTTGTGTTTCCTGCATTGACATTTCAGAAGTAACTTTTTGTGAATACCCAATCAATTGAATTGTGAGTTTGGATTTTTTCATTAATTCATGGAATGTGGACATTACAGGCCAGGTCAGCATTTGTATCACCCACCCCTGACTGTTAAGAGTCAGGCATGTTGCTGTGGTCTGGAGTCACATTTTTTTTTTCATTTATTCATGGGATGAGGGTATCGCTGACCATTTATTGTCCATCCCTAATTGCCCAGAGGGCAGTTAAGAATCAACCGCATTGCTGTGGGTCTGGAGTCGCATGTCAGCCAGACCAGGTAAGAATGGCAGATTTCCTTCCCTAAAGGACATTAGTGAACCAGATGGGTTTTTCCTGACAATCAACAATGGATTCATGGTCATCATTAGATTCTTAATTCCAGATATTTTATTGAATTCAAATTCCACCATCTGCCATGGCGGGATTCTGGGTCCCCAGAACACCAGAGACCCAGATAAACAGTCCAGCAACAATACCACTAGGCCATGGTTTCCCCAGACCAGGTAAGGAGTGCAGTTTCCTTCATTAGTGCACCAGTGGATTTTTTTCTGACAATCGACAACAGTTTCATGGTTATCATCGCACTTGTAATTTCATATTTTTATGGAATTCAAATTCTCTGGTGGGATTCAAACCCAAATCCCCAGAATGTTACATGCGTCTCTGGATTAATAGTCCAGGGATAATAATGTTAGTCTATCGCAGCCTCCTCCTTTACACAATTTGTCCTTTTAACACGCAGTCATCCAACAGATGAACACATTTTAAACAGTTCTCTTTATGCTAACTGGGACATTAGAAATGTTAATGTTAAAGTAATGAAGTGGGGTGGGGGAATTTTCCTTGCTTTGAGTTACTAAATTTTATTTCTTAAATGCTGGACGTGTTATTTCTCTATTGTCTAATATCTTGTAACTGAAGAAGCTGTACCTAGGTACCTCTGTACCTAAGGTGGCGCTGTAAGTGGCAACTTATAATCTTTTCAGTGTACTCATTGAATATATGTGACAGTAAGGGCTGATTCTAATTCTGAATTCATATTTCTGTGCTGTAAATTCATCAACTTCCTGTACTCCTTTCTCTAATTCTTGGGTTTCTTTCCTCAGGGTTTGTCTTGTTGTTAAACCAACTGTATGTTGAATACATTTTAATTTGTAATAGCAAAATAAACAGATATAAGTTTTGGTTTATATTTTAGGTTCCCAGAATTAATAAGCTACATTGCCAACAACAGTCAAGAAGATTTGTACTATGAAGATAACATTTGGTCTGGAGAGGATGTAAATGGGTGAGATATTTTACTTAGTGCTTTAAAAATGCCTGTTCAATTTAGCTTTAGCTTTAGCTGCAAGTACTGAATGGATTTTGATACTTCCTTTAATCTTTCAGGTATTTTAAACTTGATCTTAGAAGCTGATATATTTGAAGGTTTAATCATCATAATCTCCAAAAATTCCAATATTCTTCTCACCATGCTCAAGGTTGATGCCATTGGAACAGGAGTTAACTGTTTACAACTCCTCAATTGATCACCCATTTAATACATAGAACCGTAGAAGAAAAGAGCAAGAGTAGGCCATTCAGCACCTCGAGCCTACTCCACCATTTAATATGTTTGTAGCTGATCACGGAGCTTAATACCCTAATCCCACCCTGAAACCTGTAACTTCCTAGTCTGTTGATTTAAAGCGTTATACATTTATACTGGGCATAAAACTAAGTACAAAAATAAATTGCATTCATCTTTTAAACAGTGCTGAAAAAGTTCAAGAAATTGGAGCCTGGTTGAAAATGCATCCTGTCAGTAGTCTGTCAAGAGCATCATGTGACTTGAACCTACTTGATGCGGCAATTATTGAAAAGATTGAAGAGGAGGTGGAAAGATGCAAGGTATTTCTTTTTGATCCTTTGTAAAACAAATAAACAGATCAAAAATGTCTAATTCCCTTTTTCTGAGTTTTCTCCCATCATTTTTTTGAGAGGCGGTGAAGCTGCTTTCTGTGTTTGCATATTTGTATACACTTTAATGAGTATCAGTGCCCCTCAGCATCTTAATGAGCTATTCTTAATTATTTTTGTAGGTTACTGAGCCCACTGCTGTTCTCATTTGATCGCTGTCCATTCCATAGCATAACTGGCTGGTGATGAGACTTAAAAAGTCTTGGTTGATTTCAGTTCTTTCTCTACCAATTATTGCAATCCACTTGTTTCCCCAATTCAGTAGGCACAAGGCAGAAACTGAACCCAAAGCTGATACTAGCGTTACACAATCTCATAACTGAGAAATCACACAGGATTTCTGTTTGTCTGCCATTTTCTGATCAGTTCCACAGACTTGGATTCAATTGCCTGATCAAGAATGGAGGCAATGGAGATGTTCTGTTCCCAGTTCTGTCAGTCTCTGCCGTTAAGCCAACAGTTAAAATGTAAATAGGAGTAAACCTAAAAATTAACATCGACATTCCTTTCCTTTTCCCTCAAATTTTTCGGCATTATCCCAAATTAGGTAGCTACATTCAGGTAAACAATGGAACTGATTACCTGGGAAGAATAGCTTCCTTCCTCTTTTGTCCCCACGATGCATGCTACTGTATATAGTGTCTTGCTCATCATTATCTGGTTTATGTGTTGCTCATCCCAAAATCTATTATTAAAATTAATATGGAATAACCTGTTTCCTTTTGTCGCAAAAATCAAATTTAAATTAAATGTTCAATTGTAAAGTGCAGAGTGCTTATTGAACAAAAATCACATGGATTTATTGTGGATACTTTAAATAGAACAGCAGTACCAGAAGTTGAATGCCCTGAACTTTATGTCGGTATTTTCTTTACTATTCTTAGCAAAGAAGAAGTAACAAGAAAGTAAGAGTGACTGTGAAACCACATCTACTATACCGGGTAAGTTGAGCTATCCTGTTTAATCAAAGTCTACTCCGATGTTTGAAAAGATTGGATTAAGACATTCGAGGTGGGTTTTGCAACTGACCTTTAACCATGTGCAGATGTGATGTCCATGTCTATAAATACTTATACACTGACTCTACAAAATTAATAACCAAAATTTAGACCCCGGGAAGATTTATTTTGTCTGCTATTAATAGTAAAGTAATTCATGTGATGATTACAAATAAATACTATAAATACTGAACAATGGAAATTCTCCCCTTACTAAATAAGATTTTGGTAAATATTTGCAAAATGGATTAGCTATTTGAATCAATGTTGGGGAAAAACAGGCAAGAATAGAACAAAGAACAAAGAAAATTACAGTACAGGAACAGGCTCTTCGGCCCTCCAAGCCTGCACCGACATACTGCCCATCACAACTAAAACCCCCTACCCTTCCAGGGACTGTATCCCTCTATTCCCATCCTGTTCATTTTTTGTCAAGACACCCTTTAGAAGTCACTATAGTTTCTGCTTCCACTACCTTCCCCGGCAGCGAGTTCCAGGCACCCATCATCCTCTGTGTAAAAAAAACTTGCCTCATAC